AAGGCTATTGCCAGCGTTTTTCCCCTAGAGAAGAGCGAGTGTTCTGAACAATATGTTTAGTTTTCATACTTCACGTTTTAAAGACAAATTCCGAACTTTTTCTTTCTCTCTTCCTGCAAAATCTTTTGCTTAATTGTCTCCCTTCAAAGTTGTACACACTATTCTGTTATATTTCTATCAAACGCTGAGTTGGGATTTTCTACTTTTGCGACACGTGGCAAATTTTTGCAGGGTCTGTGGTTAAAACTTCTTTTCTGGGTTTGTGGCCAGCAACATTTTTTTGTTTTCTGAGCTGGTTTTCCAGGCTAGCAAACTTGCCGCTTGCCGCATCCCTTTCCCTTCAGGTTCGCCACGCGATAGAATACTTTTATGAACAGCCTGGGCTATTTCTTCCACAGCTTAAACAGCATTTCGGTATCGCAGTGCTCAGGCTGATCACACGCATTTGCTGGTACACCCTTCCACATCTAAGTTCCAAATTTAACAATATTTATGTATTTTTGACTCAAAAAGCCCAAGCAGGTCTTGCTGTCTCATTTGCTGCGTGAACTGTGGAAAGGCTGCTTGCACCGTGCCGAGCAAACGCAGGCTCGGGCCAGACAAAACACACCAGAGCTTATCTGGCAAAAACCTCGCCTGACCGGCACGCTCCCTAACATAGGCTCAGTCCCGCAAAGCGTGAGGCAATTCGGCCCCCAATTAGCAAAATTAAGTGTAGATCTGCCTTTAAAACACGTGAGTCATCCTAATGACTTTAGCAATTTTTAAAAAATATTTTTTAGTAGGTGTATCCTGCTGAGCAAGAGCATTTTTTTTTCTGCAAAAGCCTGTGGTAAGGCTCACATGAGTAAACACGTGCATAAAAAGCTTTGTAGAACGAGGAACTTGGAGTGGTCACTTTCGAAACCCAAACTGCTCCCTGCCATACTTGGACCCTTTAGTGGAGATGTGGTGATCTGCCAGCCTGGCTCACTGAGGAAAAGGGGGCTTTGGGCATGGTACTTTCGCTGCAGATACAAAGTTGCTTTAGTATTTTTGTATTTATTTTAGTTTTCCCAAATATAAAACATATAAAAATATATATAATATATAATCTAAAAATATCATAAAAATATGATATATAAAAGAGAAACCAGAATTAATCTTGACCTGTGATTAATATCAGCATTGAACTGGTATTTTCAGATTCACTCTTCACTGAAGTCACCCAAGGGAGGATGATGGTAACAGTTGTGTGAACAGGACGGGTACTAACCGTTTATTAGCACTCTGTTTCTGCTGCTGCTTGCCTGGAGATACTTTCTGGTAAAGATGTCTGGATTTGCGAAGCCTGCTAGAACTGCACATCTTTTTCAAATGGAAAAATGAGTTTATTTTCATTGTCTCATAACAAAGCAAGCCAAATACATTCTCCATCTTTTAAAGATTAAAAAAAATAACAGAATTGCTTGAGAAAGAAGATGAATTGTGGAATAATGACTCAAGATTATTATTTTGGAAAATTATATGTGAAAACTGTGTTTTACAATAAGAAGAGCTCAGTGCTTTAAAAGGAAAAATAAGAAAGTTTTTTTTTTCCCCTGAAAAATACATCACCTACATGATAACAACACAGTAAATGACCTTTAAAGAGCTTCAGATGTATTTTTGGTTCAGCTGTGTTAATGCAGAGTTCTTGGTCTATTGCCAGTTTCATTATTTTGTTTAGAAAGTCCCTTTTCTCTATTGTTTAAGTGGGTTTTTCACATCCTGTCCCTGGAGAGAAAGTTTTCAGGGAAATGTGTTCATAAATAATGGAAATTACCAGAGACTGTTGAAAAACATAGACATAGTTTCCTCTGGTTCATTTAAAATCATGAGAAGTTCAACACTGAAGAATCTGTGCCAGCTTTTCTCCTGCAGAAGCCCGGAGAAGGTTCGGGGCTGAAGTCTGAGAGTCACCGGGGGCTCAGGGAATGACAAAGAAGCATTTCACTGCTGAAATGCAGCAGAACGCGAGCGACTGGGTCACCACCAGTCGAGGTTCGTCTGATCTCGAAGTTGGCGACTTCTGTCAACACATTTGTCTGTTGGATAAAATTCCTTCTGGTTGCATCTTTAGTTCTTGGCATAGCAACTGATCTGGCGAGGCATTTAAGCCCTCCTGTGTAGCAGACCCCTGTTTCATGATGTCTTTCCAGACAGAAGTTGACCTGATTTTGGAGACCAGTAGATCTTCAATATCTCGCAGACTGAGACTTTGGGAGACGCCCAAGGCCTGTATAAGGGGCAAAATGGTTTTCTTTGTATCTTCCCCCAAAAGTGAGCACGTAGAAAATTTTACAAGGAAGCAGGAAAAGGCTAGCTGTCCCGTGTCACTGGGTTTTTTTTGCAGTTTTTCTGGCAATGGATTGAAAATCCAAGTTGAAGAAGCTGCATTCAGCTCAGGCTGGGTTCCCCCTAACTGGACTGAAACAGAGCTTCTGGAGCGGGGCAACACGGCAGCCAGGCGCTGGCGAGCTGCTCAGCCAGGCAGCTCCGGGGACACCGGCACGGCCGTCCTTGGCGGATGGTGCCTCCAGAATGTCGGGGGATTCGGGTGCACCACGGCCTGCACAGCTCCAACCAGCCCCTGCCCACAACTGCTTTGGCTCACGGTTTTCCTCCCATCGCCGCAGTTGCTGCAGCCTCGCCCCAGCACCCGCCCAGGCGGCCCCGCGGCCCCTGGCCCTCCTGCTCGCTGCGGGACGCTGGCCATGGCGGCGAGGTCTGCGACCCTGTCCTGCATCTGAACCAAACTGTACCTGTTAAGGCACTCACAGCTGGGTTAGAAACACGCTGGTAATACGCCGGTTCATCATTGTGACTTTACCCCCACCTCAGTTACTGTAAGAATAAGAGAGACTTTAAGCGGAAGGACGTGCTTAAAGGAGTACATTTTGTGTCCTGGACAGAACCGTTTTTTCACTTCTAACCAGTTTCTGGACCTACCTCAGCGTCACATTGCAGAGACCCATCACGGGCCACTTGCTCGTTCTGCGTTGGATTCAGCCCTTTTCAGGGACCTATGGCAATAGCTACGCTGGCTTAGGCCATACCTCAACGTATTTGCATCTGTCCATTGCGACCAACTGATGGTATGAAATATATATTCCATACAGAAAATAAAACTTTAGCCCTTTTAGTACCACTAGAAAAATTTTGGTCCATATTTCAATACTATGGAAGCTGGGGGAAATCATCTGATTCAGTTTCTCAGCTGTCATGTATATGTTTCTTCTCTCAGTAAAAACACAGATCAATGCAGCTAAATACTTGGATTTCAAAATACCAAGTACCTGAAACTGGTGAGCTCACCTTTCAGACTCAGAACTTACCAAAATGAGCAGTGCTCATTAGGAGGAGACGGCACACCACCATCTCAGCCTACAAGTCGGTGTCTTGCACACTTTGGCCACACAAACAAGGTGTCTCCCTGGCTGTGTCAGCCAAGTAACGGAATTTTCTTTCTTTGCAGGGCGTGGAATCACCTGCCTGAGGCAACCCAGGCTGGCAAACAGAAGCTCCTGGTTTAGAACGGACTGGGCAGAGAGATCATGTAATATCCTGGGGCGCCAGGGCTTTGGGCTCTTTTACGTAAGAATGAGGAGCTTCTCATTGCAGTGGCCGTACTCAGAGCTGAAGCAGTTCTTGCCGATGTAAGGACTGGACGGGATGCGTTTAGCCACTGATTCCACTTCCAGGCAGTTTTGCAAATCACCTCTTTCCTAAGCTTACCAAGCTCCAGAGGTTGTGACCAGCTGCTCCTCCCCAGGCCCACGCTCACTAACGACACTGGATCTTTGAGTGGCTTCTCTGTTACTCTGGACAGTCTGAAGTACAGGAAGGCTTTCAAACGCTAGAGGCGAGACACACTGGGTGATTTCGAGAACAGCTCTGTAGATCTTCAGGTATTCTTCAGACAGCAAAGGATTGCTCTAGATCCAACCTGGGTGGCAGGATGGTTGCAAGAGGTGAACTAGCTCTGACAAGCACTGGGAGCGTCAGACCTTGAAACATGTGCTGGGACTAACCAAAAAATCCAGTACCACAGGTGGAAATGGGAATGAAAGTTAAAAAACCACTGCAGCCAAGCTCTCCATGAATTCTCTATTCGAGAATAACCCGACCAAGCTGTGTTTAGCTTTCACAGATATGCTGGTTCTAGAGGAAACAGAAGTTCATCTTACAAGCGATAAAGCCAGACTCATGCCTAGAATGGATCGATGTTATTTGCACTTTAAATGAGCAGCTGAAGATTGGCTAATTTATAGACCAGTTACCCCAGTCTGAAAATACTTCACATACTTGCGGGTAGGGGAAAATTAAAAAAAAAAAAAAAAATAAATCCAATTCTATCTTTTGTTCTGTTCTATCAACTTTTACACTTCCAAGTTTATTACTCTGACTCTCACTCAAACGTGTTACGTCTGTGTAATAGCAACTCGTCTTACCTCTAGGCAGCTGTGACAACTTGGAAGACTGCATAACCCTCTTTGGGTGACAGCTGTGGTATTTAGCAACCTGTCCAAGCCAAAGTGCACTTTCTTTTTTGTCTCCCCCAATTTATAACCAATCCCACAAGGCAGCTCAGATGCCCCGTCACCCAAAGTGGTATTGCCCAACATTGTTTGCTCTGAACACTCAGAGGGCAGAGCAAATATTTTAAACAACAGCAAATACCATTGTCATCTATTTTGGCAGTATCATCAGGGTCAAATCAGTTCAAAGGTTAAAATACTTGCACTGTGAAACAAGATCACTCCTGAAGAACTTTGACAGACAGACAGTCGCAGGCTGCAGTCAGCCGTCGGGTGCTTTTCAGTCAAACAGAAAAATTTGCAGGGTTGAAAACTGTTAGGGGCCGTAACCAGCACACCAATACTGGTTTGTTAAATCCCTGCTGGGGGTGTTGCACCTTCACATACATCTGCCAGAGCAAGCAAAACCCACAAGAAAAATAACCACCAAGGAAAACAACATCCCCTTCACAGCTTATCTCTAATTGCACCGGGTACCAATCAGCTAGTTTCTCTGTGCAAGAACGAATAGCAGCAGTGCGATAGAAGGAGCACTGCCTTATCACAGACGCAAGTTAACATTTATTATTGCCGTATCCAAAGTCCAGATTCCAGCCTGCACGCCCTGCAAACTCAGCACAGCAGAGGCCA